AGAGGTCTTTAGAGGAGGTGGTCAGGGAAGGGGTCTCCCAAGGACACTCCTAAGTGTCAGCAGGGGTCTGAGGGCAAACACCTGGGTAACAGTATTCACAACAGAGGAAATACTATGGAAACTAATTGGCCAGAAGAAAAATTAGAGCTTCTAGATAATGAAATAGTAGAGAGTCTTAATTCATCTGGCCAAACATGTCATAAGGTACAAATGACAGTGGATGAAGGAGGAAAACATATAATTAGCTTAATAAAAAATATGATAATACATGTAAAGGGTTTTTCAATTGGCGGGGATGCTTGTTCCCCTCAGACTTTTCCTTGTCTAGTATTAGACGTTTGCTCTTCCTAATCAATGTTACTGGTTTATTATTGTTACTTATGTTCCTGGTATGTAAATGTTATAATAGATGCAGAAAAACAAAACTTGACAAACAGAAAAAAGACTCAGATAATGGTGGCTCAAAATTTAGAAATGATCCAGAATAATTTTTAACAAGGACATATAGGACCTGACTGCCTCCCTTTTGAATACTAATAATTTGATCTTGAATGCCATCTAAGTTTATGGTCTTGCCCCATCCCCAGTGGTCCACCTGTTCAGCAAGACATGCGACACTAAAACATCCTAGAATGAGTCTTCCTAGCACCGTGGTACTCCATTGTCCAACCACAAGGTTGGTCATCAATGCATCCTTTGGATTGATTTATGACCAAAAGGGGGATGTGTGGATGAAAGGGGCCACATGCTAACCTGATAAGCTCAGGAGAGGCCTGCATAGCAGCCTTGAAAACTCAGAGACCTAAAGTAACCACAAAGGATGGTCTGAAATTAAACTTTAACTAAAAGCAGTTATGGTGGGCAGTTATGTCCTAAGCTGGTATCTTCACTAACAAGGTCAACCTTTACCTTAACTGAGCCTATCTGTCTTTTTGCATCTATGATAACACCCTTGAAGTGTCTGGGTAACTTGTAACTTCCCTTTTTCTGGAGCCCCTGGGGCACAACCAAATGTGCTGGGGGGCCAGGACAGATACCACAGATTCCTTCATTGTTATCATGATAATTGTTCCTGCACCCATCTAAGTATGTGTCCATCATTTTTCTTTTTATCCAATCCCAGGGGTTTCCCCACTTTGCTTACTCCTGCCTCCCTAGTCTATTACCAGTGGATTTCATGTAACCCACCTACGTCCCTTCCTTTGCTTGCAATGTATAAATACAGATGTAACCCGCATTTCTCCAGAGCATCATCTCAATTCATTGAGGTTCTGCTTCCAAGCATATGTCGACAGTTTGGCTCAAATAAATTCATAAAAATTCTTTACAATTATTAAAAAAAACACACAGGAAATAAGGTCAGAGGTGCTGAAGTACTGGTGGCCATGCTGCTGAAATTAACCACAGGAGAGGCACACACACACATACTTTGACCAAGGCTGAAAAATGAAGAGACCAGCTGAAGACCTACTCACGACCCAAGGCCTCATCTCTCCATCCCAAAACATAGCTCCAAATCTTGATCAATTTCTCTCTTCCCTCCTAGCCTCACTGTTAACCTTCTGGAGCCTGCCCACCACTGCCCAGCTCACTATTGAATCAGTGCCACCCAATGCTGCCGAAGGGAAGGATGTGCTTCTCCGTGTCCACAACCTGCCTGGGAATCTAATCGGCTATACCTGGTACAAAGGGGAAATAGTGAACAACAGCTGTCAAATTGTATCATATATAATAGACCCTCAAATAACTACCCTCGGGCCTGCAAACAGTGGTAGAGAGACAATATACCCTAATGGATCGCTCCTGTTCCAGAACATCACCCTGAAGGACACAGGATACTACACCCTACAAGCCACAAACAAAATTTTACAGCAAGAACAAGTAACTGGACAGCTCCGTGTATACCGTGAGTGAATGCTCTCTGACCTCTGGGTATTGGGTGGGTGAACTCTACTTCACACACAGGACTGACAGCCCTGGACTCTGCCTCGATCCCCCTCTGCATCATCTCCCCAGGTTGGGTTTGGGCATTTAGTGCAGGACACACAGTGGAAACAAACTTCCTAAGATCAGAGTTCCCTTCCCAAATTAAAGCCCTGCAGACATTCCCCACAGAGAGGTCTGACGGGAGTGACTCAGCAGAAGGAGACTCAGCAGAGTCTCAGTCCAGTCCCTAGCCCCCTCCCCAAGGCCATGACACTGAGAAAACCCTGCAGAGCTTGGTCACACCCTGGCCTGAGGGGACCCTGGAATCCTCACAGAGAAGTTCAGCCTGGGAACCCCTCCCACACCCCTGTCCCAGGGCTCCTGAGTCCAGAGAACCTGGGGAGCCTGTGTCAGGTTAGGTTTGACCTCCTGGAAGGGCTGGGTGGGAGCAGTGGCTCTACTCCTGCTCACCAGCCAGGGCTCAGCCCCAAGAGCCACATCAGGACAGAGACAGAGCCTAGTCCTTCACCTAAGGCTGTGTCAGGAGAGCACAGGTAGACAAAATACCCCGTATCATTAGCTGACTCTGCTGAGGGACTTAGGAGACTCCGGAGTGAGGTCAGATCTCCAGGAAGGAATGGAGGATAGAAGATGCTCCTGACAGCTCCTTCTCCACCAGGGGTCAGGCCAGGAATTCTCTCTCATGGAGGCAAATAATGGTAGTGGCCATTTAAGTCAGTGTCTCCTCTATACTGGGCTTGAGGTCAAGTAGTCAGGGATGTTTTAAGGTCAATTCACAGACAACATGGTAATCCAGAGTCCATTTACCATTTGTTCTGTTTTTATTCACGGGAAACGGAGGCACAGTGTGATACAGTCACTGAATCAGGCTCACACAGACACAGCAAGGTCCTTGGACAGCCACAGCCCCATCCTCTCCTCCACCACAAGGGTCTTAGGTGTCTGTGGACCCTGAGACCAGCCATTGGTTCAGTGCTTTTTCTTAGCAGTCCCCAGCTCAAGGTAGATTTTCTGGTCTGGTGATTAAGCAAATGGAGAATTAATTTTTACTCTAGAATCAAATTACCTACAATAACATTCAGAGTCACTGCTGGGAATGCCCAGACTTTCCCCTCAGGTTACTGATCCACCCCTCCCTGCACTGGACTTGAAACCACTTATTTGTTTCCTGATGTGTTGGTGCCATTCCCACTAACTATGAAGGAAAGGACTTTGCCTTCTCACTCTCCACCCTACACCTGCTACCAGTTCAGGGAGCAGCATCTCACTTGCTCTCTCATGAAGGAGGGAAGGAATGATGGTGAATGATGACAGAATGAATGAATGAATGATGCATAATTGCTAGAGAGACTGAAACCTGGATGCTGAGTCCTAAAGGCTTTTAGCCACACCTGTTCCCTGTCCCCAGAGGTGCTGAGAGCCATGTCCATCCCTCTGACCACCTGTCCCTGAAGCCTCCTCAGGAGCCAAGTCCCTTGTTGACTGTGGGACTGTTCCAATGCGGGAAGGTTTTCCAGGCTGCACTGCTCCTGCCCTGGGGCAGCTGTGGGCTCTTGGTCTCTGGGGTCTTAGAAGTCACGAGTAACCCCCACTGCTCACCAAGGACATTCTGCCTCTATCTGCTCATTCCATGTTCCTTACCTGCCTCCTCCTTCACTCCAGACACACTGCCCTGTTCTGCTCTGCTTCCCCCACTGTTCAGATTGTCCTGCTAACACCTGTGTCCAGTCCCACCCTGCAGGGCAATAGGAGAGGACACGGAAATCAGTGGGAGCACCAGCCCTGGCTCCATCCATGAGCAAGTTTCCCAGGTCACTAGGAGAAAGAGCTTCTGCTGGGCCCCCATCCAGGGCTCCTTCCCCCCCTGAGGCCAACAAGAGGAACAGGCCACATTACATGGGCATGTAAACCATTGACCTACTCTCTATATGACTCAATCAGGGAGTCATTTGCAGAAGGACAGTTCTCAGTCCCAAAAGCTCACGGGCTCACTTCACCCCTGACTGCTGACTCACACCCTTGTCCTGTGTGAGGTTCCCATTCCTCCCACTAGCTCTGGAGACCCTCCCACCATGGGCCTGGTGACCCTGCACCATCTGACTGGTTCACTGCCTGTTTCACACACGTGTGTCCTCGTGATGACACCTTGACCACAGAGTGGGATCCTCTTAGACTGTGAGATCCACCAGCCACTCTCCTTTCTCTCAGAGGCTCCCCAATTTGAATGAAGATGACTAAACTCCAGTTGTTTCCTGAGTTAGAAAGACAAGGAAGAACATATGCCACAGGCCCGTGTGGGGGCTCCACCCCATCTCCCTGACTGTCCATAGAAACAGGGAGGGACTTTCTCCCTAACTTTACTAACATGACACATGTCTTTTCTACGAATTTGGTGTCATCCCTCCCTGTATAGAGCAGAGACACCTGGACACACCTCCTCCTCCCCATCCCCCTGATCACTTCAGTTCTCTTTGCAGGACTCACCTTCTCTCTAACCCATGGAGTCCCTGATTCCAAACCCACTGTGGCATCTCCCTTTGGTCACAGTGTGACCTGGTTGGACAGCAGAACTTGGTCTATGACCTTCGTGATCTCTAGACAGAGATTCCTTCAAAATCTGGCATTAGAACTTTGGGGCATGAGTGATTTTCACATATACTTTCACAGTTTACCTCAAAATCTATCTCATAACTGCCAAACACAAATGGACCATGAGGGCCATATTTTCAGCAAGTTCATGCTCCCCCACCTCCACAAGCCCCCCTTCT